CCTCTTCTCGACTGACCAACAATTTTTTCCCATAATTATAACTTGTTGTTTTGTACACATAGTTGTTTTTTTATGTAGTGATGAACCATGCACATTCTGGTTTTGTCCCCAAGAGGGGCTCTGTACAAAGTAGGCCTTAGTATAGCCTATACTTTTCATTTTACCAATTTAGGCCTGGCTTAAGTTCAATAGTGGCTTTCCTTGATCTGTGAGTCTAATTATTATGATTTGTTTTAAATTTTAGGCTCAGGAAAAGGAAAAAAAACCTTCCGGGACCGGGATTCGATGCTGGGCTTGGAAGCACTGAACATTAGACTTAGAGAATGTAAATCTAGACAACTTGTACATATACGTTCTCTTGGCCTAACTTAAAGTTAAAGATAATATTTTAAGGTAGATCTATTGTATGACGACACTGCGGACAGGAAATGTACTGCTTAGATATACCGGGTTGCACCGTGTTGTTATTGTTATCCAAGCATCTTAATTCGACTTAAACTTGCTCAAACTCAAACGATTATGATTATGAAAGATGAACAAGACTCGTCTAGTCTACTTTTGCGAAAACAATGTCAGATACAATTGTTCTAGATCTGATCTAGATCTAGATCTAGATCTACCCATTATTGTTCAGAATAAGACAACGTCATAAAAAAGGAGTCAAATCCTATAATATATGAGGTTTATCAAGAAACTGAGAAAGTTTCCAAAATGTCAGAAACAAGTGTTCTAGATCTAGATCTAGATCAACCCAATATTGATCGGAATAAAAGGTCATAAAAAAAGGAGTCAAATCCTAGATCTATAATATAGGAGGTTTATCAAGAAATTGAGAAAGCTTCCACAATTCAGGCAGAACTATATGATTATGTTGAAACGATGGCTACTAGTAGTTAGGCACACGTACGCCCGCATAACACTGGATTGTTAGGGGCACGTATTTTCAAAGTCAAAGCCGTTCGGTGTTCCCAAAAGTCAAGGAGTTCGGCGGTTCATTTCCCATTCATTTCACCAGCGTGCTTGGTCGAGCAAAGGTGGATTGGGATTGAGACTCGTAAACTTGTGACTTGATCTAGAACTATTCTAAATTTTCTAGATCTCTGTTTGTCGGGAGGGAGGGAGAGAGAGTGTATTTCTGAATGAAAAAAGACAGATACAAAGAGGAATAGAATGTGTGTGTGTGTGTGTTTGACAGAGCGCGCGAGCGCACAAACACACACACACACACACACACACATACAGAGAGAGAGAGAGAGAGAGAGAGATGGAGAGAGAAAGAGAGTGTGTGTGACTAGTGTGTGTGTGAG